AGGTAACTTACCGTAAAGTTGAAAGTAAAGTTGAGTAAAGTTGAAGCGTGAAAAAAGGAAATCGGCGAGCGCTGGCGTGCGCGGGGCAGGCGCGCGGCACGGCGCCAGTCCCCCCCCCCCCGCATCCGCTGCAGCGAATACTCTACCGCGGTCGTCGCCGCGCACGTCCAGGACGCCGAGCCCCCGCGGCCGCGGCGCTCGCGCCCGTGTGATAGTACAACGTGCGCATCGAAAAGAATCTCCCAGCCCTTGCCGGGCCGGAAAAAAAAAGAATCTCCTAGGCCTTGTTAGTTCACTTTTGGAAAAGGAGCGAAATCGGCCTCGATTTCCACTCTGCCCGATGTTTCCACCCCCGACTTGGCGACACTAGCAGATAGGGGCTCTGCTCAGGTGCCTGGCCCGCGGCAGCGGCCCACAACTAGGCTGCATCAAGGCTGCATCGAGTAAAATTCCCCCCTGTTCACGCGAGTCACGAGTTATGATCCGCGGCGGTGCCCTGCCCACACATATGCAGGGCTAATGTAGGCAATCTAGCTGCATTGGGTTGGCGCAACATTCGAATGGAATCCCGGGGGCCCGGGGCACTGTTCTAGCTGAAAACGTCGCAGTCTGACAAGGAAACCAGGCCACGATAAATTACAAACGACGTCCGTGTGCGACGCCTGGCCCGTATTGCCAACACAGCCAGATTCGATTCGTGCTCGCCCATTCCGGGAAAGGACTGTTGTGGAGTCTACGTCACCACCTTCTGCTGGGGGGGAGCTTTGCAGTTCGAACACTCCCGGGCTTAGTTCGGCGCAAACTATCATTGCCGCGCTGCTTACATTGAGAGGTCTAACCCATGACCCAGGTGCAGGGGAGAATACAGCGAAAACCATCGTTTTGCTATAGGACAAGATCAAGGTCTGCCCAGGAGAGCACTGCACGAAGAATGGGACATCAAATACATATCCAAGAGTTTCCAACCGAAAGCCCCCGGAACTGTGTGATATTTCCGTATTAAGCTTGTGCTCGCAACCTCTTTGTCCTCCGCATCTCTGCACGTTTACTGCGACGTGCGTGGCGTTTTTCGTGGCGTGTGTTCAATCTTGTATCAACCATCTCCGCGGGCGCTGTTGGAGGCCTTACAGTGCACGATTTGCCTGTTTCAAAGCTCGCATTTACAGCATATGAGGTCTCTTGATCGCTTTCAGAGCCAAATGGGAAGCTGGAAGTACACATCGTTCGGGCTCGCTGTTTGTTCTCGAAAGTATCTGACTCAAAAACTAAAGCATGCATGCATTGATTCCGAGCCTTGTGGTGCAGACGGAAGTTTATCCTTGGCGCCGCCCATTTGGTAAGTTTAATCGTGAAAGTGCGCCAGGCTTGTGTTGCATCTGCGTCGGCAAAGAAGTCTGGATTGAGAGCACGCCTGGTCTCCTCGAGTGCATCGAAGACCTGCGTTCTCGTTGCATCGACAATAGAAGTGAGCGTCGGATGAATGTCCTTGGCGTGGGTGATTAACGGTATGCCTGCATCATAGAAGGCAATCTTGCCCTTTGCCGCTGCGATTGTAGTCCAATGGAATCGAACATCATTATGGACAGCAGTAGAGCCAAAGTAGATATCATGATTGTGGAGAAGCTCTGTGCGAGTGAATCTATTCCAAGGATAATTTGTGAGACTGAGGCTCTTCAGGAAAGCTCGTCGTTGATATTGACTGGCATCAGCCTGAGAACCACTTTCGGTGACATCGATAAAAGCCGATCGGTCTGACTGCCACATATCTCTGACAGCGCCGGGCGTGTTAATTTCATAGGGAATGAATACGAGATCGCCGTCCTGCTTGTTTTGTGTAAACCTGAGCACTTCGATGAGAGCATCAATGTTGACGTCGTCATCTGCATCCACAAAGAGAGTGAAGTCACCTTCAAGAAGCGGCAGTGCGCTGTTCCTTGCTTTGCCAGCGCCTGAAGTTGCGGAATTGAGCACGTACACGTTGCCCGTGAGGGCACTTTTGGCAATCGCTGCGACGAGTTCCAGTGAGTTGACATCTAATCCGTCGTCAACTACGAAGACCTCAATATTAACGTCACGGTCACTGACCCCAAGCAGCTTGACCAGGAGAGGTGAAAGAGACGGATGGGCGTTCCGGCAAGGAACGACAACACTGAGCTGCGGCTTGGGAGGCGGACGAGCTCTAAAATCAATAAGTCTGTTTGACTCGAGAAGGTAGCGCAGTGAATTTGAATTTGACATGTCAATGAAGGCTTCGACGAGTCTTACTAGAACCCTTCCAAATTTCTTGCGAAGAAGCAGCGTTGGTTGCATTCTTGCGACCCATTTGCTCCGGCTCATGAAGGTGATGAACTCGGAGACAGCGTCGGTTTTGAAAGTAGTTGTGATTCTATGCGATGTTTTGTGTTGCAAGAGCAACGATTGTATAATTCGTAAATTTGCGAAGAATCCGGAGAGGGCAGTTGCGTGTCCGGAGTCGCTCAGGTAGGCTGTCGTTTGACGTTCTCCCCCAACGACGTGCTTGATGATTGTCTCGTCTATGTAAGCGACCCGATTTGCATGCAGAAGCACATCCCAGTGGAAAGTATTATCTTCGAAAAAAAAATCGCCCTCCGGGAAGCGAAGATTCTGCGATTCTAAAAGCCTCATGTCGTAAAGTTTGCGCCACGGAACGGGAGAAAGGCGGAAAAGTTCTGGAGTTGCTACAGGATTCATGAGAGAGTTTCTAGGAAGGGTCTTGGTGACGTGGCGGTCGTACGCTGGCGCGAGAACCCGAGAGAATGTAGAGGTGACACGGACAAAATCACCGATAGCAACATCGAGGTCAAGGGTCGCAGCGAGTGTAGCGAGCTGCTGTAGCGCATTTGGTTCCATTACATCATCCGCGTCTAGGAATGCCACGTAACGTGCAGATTTGGGGCAGTTCCCCCGGCCGACATTTGCTGAGTGACCCACGCCACCTGGCGACCTTGCTTCCAGGAGCAGGGGTCTCACACGAGAATGGATAACACTCGCATCGTGCACAAGGCACGCAGTCCCGTCGCTTGAAGCATCATCCACGGCCACCACAGTCACATTTGTGTGCGACTGGCCTAAGATCGACAGAAGCGACATTCTCAGTGTATTTGCATTGTTGTATGCGGTCAACACAACGCATACCTCTAGTTTCATAGCTGAGTTATACTGGGAGTAATTAAAGCGACCAACCCCCGCCCGGGCACATCGATATCTCCGCTCTGCCGTTGGTAGAATCTCTGTTGTTATTTCAGCCGTATGACGGCAATGTTGGGTGTTAACTGTCACGAGGTTGCCAAACCGATTGAACATGTCCGGCTGTGCCGGGAATTTACTGAGGGGAATATGTCTAGGAGCATGTACTACATATAAATCTCTTTGCTCAACAAAAGAACGCAAGGACCCGAGCCAATTCACTCNCAGTGTNTGAGCCATATATGCCTGATCGTGACCCTGGCAGCTGCTCCCCAACGCTTGCACCCGAGGTTGTTGCGAGCAGTTCCCGCCATCGAGCAGGGACAGGAGAGAACAGCTTTGGTCGAGTACCAAAAAAACGTGCAAAAAATGTTTCCTCGAATGGCATTTCAAATGAAGTCGATTGTGGTGAAATTGGAATCTCCAGTTCCGCACTGATTGAGAACGCGATCACGTCACCACGTGCACCATAAGCGTCTCTTGCTCGCCCTAGCCATGAGTACATGTCGGGACTCGGGGGTCCATCGTTTGAATCGAGGATTACACAGGACCCATCCGCGACCCCATCCCATATCAGTTCACTCCACAACGGTAGCCGGGTCCTCTCAAGCTCGAAGACCCACCTCCGTGACCCACCGTACTGAACACAAAAGTCTGAAAAAGCGGCAGCGACCGAGTCGTCGAATTCAGACCCGTCATCATGAATACGCACACGTACGACCACCCGCACGCAGCCCCGACCGAAGTCTACAACCAACAAGGAATTCAATGAGACGTCCAGCCTTTCACCACTGGATGCATGCACTACGATGCGGCCGTCAACACGATGGCACGGCACGTGAGCAAACGCGGCTGAGATACTTAGCACTGCGCAAAGCGTCAGAAATGGGGGAGAGGAGTAGTGAAACATGCTTATAGTCGCTGGGCAATTAGCTAAGTTCAGGATAAATTGCAACGCGCTCCGCCACCCATTCAATGCACTACCGTTCGACGCGTCGAGGTTAGTTGGTTGGCTCGCTACAGCGGTTCTCGCCACAGCGGTTCTCAGTCAGCCGACATTGCCCTCTCAGAATTCCGATCTACCCAAGAGGTATGCAAACAACCTTAACCACTGTCATGCTGATCTGAGATGAGCGCTCTGAGAATGGGGTGAGGTAGTGGTGGTGGTGGTGGGGGTGGTACCCCTGGGGCCGCTGGAGACCACTCGAATCCACCGGAAATATGCTTGTTTTGGCTCTATCGACCAGTTTTGATCTCGAGCTTGATCAAACTGCTCGTTTTGACGCTCGATCATAAATTTCGACCGTGTGGAGGTCATGGCCGAGCAGCTCTCCAGCTGCCGATCGGCCAGAACGGGTGGTTCACAGGCTTCGTTGACCCCATGTTGCAGCTGTTTTGACCACTCATTTTGAGCAAGTCGCGACTCAGGGTGGGTGGGGTAGTGGTGCTTGGTGTCGTGGGGTGGTTCACTGCCGGCCTCCTGGATCTACATGTCCCTAACAAGCACTACGTAGTGCTTGTTAGGGGTATGGTGACCCCCCGCCGGGGTATTTACTCTGAGCTCGAGTTTGTCCCCTGTTGAAGCGGCACGGTGCAGTCGTTGCATGGGCTTTTCTTCGCGGCGCTCGCGATGGCGTCCGAGTGTTATGCGCCGGGATCGGGACTGGGGATGTGCCTCCGCAGCGTCGGGGATGCCTTCGTTCGGGCGTCGACCTGCTATGACGCGGATCCTTAGTGGGTTCCGACGGCAGCGACCATGCGGAAGCCGTCGAACCCGACCTCGGTCGGCTCGAGGTCCCGAGGGGCAGCCCGAGGCGCCTGGGGTGGGGCCTCGCCGCCGGACATGGTCTGGACCCGACCCTACCATGGTATGGAGCGGATCGAGACCATGTCCGGCGACAGGGGCCCGCCGGGGTAAAAGCCGATCGAATGTCCTCGACGCTTCATGATCGACATTGTGCAGCGTTTTGGCGGCGCGCTGCGATGGGATGGCCGTCTTTGAGGGCCCGCCGCTCCGCGAATATGCAGAATTGTGCAACGATCCCAGCAGCTGCGAGGGCCGCAAGGACGAGGGTGAGGCACATGCGAAGACGCGACGCTCATACGTGCAAAGAATATAGACTGACCTTGATGTCTGTCTCTCTCTCTCTATCTCTATATCTCCATGACTATACTGTAGTACAGTACGCTACACTACC